TGAAACATGGTGCAGAGCTTCTGTTGGGTTCTACGGGTGTGAGCTTGATCTCCTCCCAGACTCAAAATTGACAGTATTTTCTTTCAAGAATATTTATATACCCACTTCCTTCCTGAGCATCTCAGGATCTAAGGTGACATACTGATGATACACTGGGTCCTAAGAGGCACAAGCATCTCTACACTCAAGGAAGGGATATTCCCTGCTTCACGAAGTCTACTGTGATAGTCTACAGATGGAAAGCTTTATAAACCCCAGCAGGAAAATTGGACAGGAGTCCAGTGGCATCTTCAAGACTAACAAAATCTATTCTGGCATAACACAAAGCTCATGTCATCCCTTAGTGTCTAGTGAAGTGGACTCCGACTGCCAAATAGGGTTGTGAACCTCCAGATGGGGCCTGGAGATCTCCAGGGATTACAACTGGTCTTCAGACAACAGAGACTGGTTCTCCTAGAGAAAATGGCTGCTTTGGAGGGTGGACCTTATGGCATTATACCATGCTGAGGTCCCTCTCCTTCCCAAAACTCACCCTCCCCAGGGACTACCACCAAATTTCTAGGAATGTCCCAATCCAAAACCAGCAACTCTACTCCCAAAAACTGGAATAAATTGTGTTAGTCTTGAAGATGACACTGGACTCCTGTTTTATAGTCTACTGTTTTTCTCATGCCATCCTGAAGTCTGCTCCTGAGGGCTGGAGACCTTTGGGGAAAGGGCTGGATGCAAAACAAGGGGCTGCATCTGAAGTAGGAAATGTCTGAAAATTGCACACCCTCTTTCATATGTGAAAGTGCCTCTTACAAGGGTGCCTTAAGGTCTAGCCCATTGAGACTAGTGACCTGAATGTGAGTTCATCCATTAATCTTCCCTTTCTGCTATCCAGTTTAGGATTTTGTTTAAATGGAAGATGTAAGAATATTTGTTTATCCCTGTGCCTATCACTGTGTAAAGAAAGCACAAAGAAGGTTAAAGGGGTGGGTGATGACATGGGAACTAGCAAGTCAGCACTGCACGCTGCCAGCTTTCACCCTAGAATTAATCACTCAGTAGGAGAGAAGAAAACATGCACCTGAGATTAATATAATTTGGTGTGACCACTTCCAAATTCAGTTCATCACTCTTTGCCTGCATCCTAATTGTTTCAATTTAATCCTGGGAATATGCAGCTGTCCTGTATCCCTGCACACTGTTATCATCTATAGTCTTTGTCAGTTTCTCTGGGGAGGAGTAACAATTCAAAGGCACTGTAAAACCCTACGCCCAGCCCTCCAAGTAACTATACACAGAAAGAACCAATGGCTTTCAGATAAGGCACTGAGAAATGTCATTCATAATGCCTAGATGAATGCCTAGTTAGTAGATTCAGCCTGGAGGTGGAAACAGCTATATGTGCAAGCAGCAGCTACTCCACCAATCAAAGATGCATCCAGGCTACCCACACAAAACCTCATTCAGGAATCCCTAATCCAAGACTGGGGCTGTGGCTCAGTGGCTGAGCATCTGGTGGACATGCAGAAGGCCCAAGGTTCAAGCCCCAGCATCTCCAGTTAAAAATATCAGAAAGTGGGTGATGTGAAAGACCTCCACCTGAGACCCTGGAGAGCTGCTGCTAATCTGAGTAGACAATACTGATCTTTATGGACCAAGCTTTGATATAAACCAGTTTGTGTAACTGACATACTACTTTGCACCATTACACTCTTGTTTTGGTAGCCATACTCTTGCGGATATCTGCTCCCAAATGCACATGCCCCTAGCAGGATCAGGATTCTGGACTTTGATAATCAGCAATGGTGGTCAAGTGTGCCATCAAAGTATTGGACATACATATGGATACTGTAGTCCTTTGTCTATATTTTGCATTCTACAGACTGCACTGCTGCCTATCCTCTGGCTGAGCAGAATGCAGAAACATCTCACAGGAAGGACTGTAGGACTCACTCTGTGCCATCACTAAACCCCCAAGCTCTTCTGCTCATGTCCACAAATGCCACAAAGCCCAGAAGTCCATGCCATGCCATGTTGGCTGTCCATGGTTTACCATATATGAGTTCAACAGTGCACTTCTAAAGAACATTACACCCTTTATAGCCCATGCAATGGACTTAGATGGATGTGACTCCAATTAGAGAGAGAAGAGATTGGATTAATACCCCAGTCTTCACTACCCAAAGAAGTCTCAGAGTGGCTTACAATCTCCTTTCCTTTCCCTTCCCCACAACAGACACTCTGTTGTGGGGAAGGGAAAGGAAAGGAGATTGTAAGCCACTCTGAGACTGAGGTGGGGCTGAGAGATCTCTCTTGAGAATTGCCCTTTAGAGAATAGCTCTGAAAGAACTTATGACTGACTCAGGGACACACCAGCAGCTGCATGTGGAAGAGTAGGGAATCAAATCCAGTTGTCCCAGATTAGAGTCCGCACTCTTAACCACTACACCAAACTGGCTCTCATTAGGTACTGCCCATTGGTTACTTCTTGTTTGGCCTTCTTCTGTAGGCTAGGCCAAGTCACTATCTTTCTACCTCAGTTTTCTAATATGTGAAATGGGAACAATGGAGTCACAACATGGAAAATATATCATAACAAAGCTAGAAAGCAGTCTGCAAACTTTCTTTAAAAAATGTAAATTATTAGTAATCTTGTTGATTTCATTTGAAATGTGGTGCTGGAGGAGATACTGTGGATTGTCAAAAAGACAAACCAGTGGTTTCTAGACCAAATCAAGCTTTTAACTCTCCCTAGAAGATAAAATAACTAAACTGAGGCTATCGTACTTTGGTCACATTATGAGAAGACAAAGAGTCACTGGAAAAGACGATAATGCTCGGAAAAGTTGAAGGCAACAGGGAAAGAAGAAGACTGAACATGAGATGGATGGACTTAATCAAGGAAGCCACGGCCCTCAGTTTGCAAGACCTGAGCGAGGCTGTTAATGATAGGACATTTTAGAGGTCATTAATTCATAGGTTCAGATGGGTAGCCGTGTTGGTCTGAAGCAACAGAACAAAGTTTGAGTCCAGTGGCACCTTTAATACCAAGAAAATTTAATTCTGGGTATACACCTTCATGCATGTGCTAACTCTTTTACTATCTATATGCTAATTTGCTGCTATTCACAGGTTTTACCGATTGCTTTGATCCAATCTTAGCTATACTTACCACTAAGTTACTTATATATCTTGACTCCAATTAGCCATTCCTGGCAACTAACCCCCACCCAGACACATCTATATGTAATAGTTGGCAAAGTCTGTTTCAAATGTATCTGAAGGTGTGTGCCTGCACATGAAACATAGTTGGCAAAGTCTGTTCCAAACGTATCTGAAGGTGTGTGCCTGCACATGAAAACTTATCCCCAGAATTAAACTTTATTGGTCTTAAAGGTGCCATTGGATACCACATAGGATCAGAAAAAAAAGAGAGGGGACATGAATCAGAAGCAACTTGACAACATTTCACACACACACACACACACACACACACAATCATCTTGGTAGCATGCTGGTTGCTTTCTGGTGCATACCACATAGGACTACAGCAAACCTAGCCAGCCTCCTACAGTTGTTATATAACCTTGCATAACACAATTCTAACTGACATCAAATGAAAATCGTAAAATGTTTTTTTCCAGATGCCCAAAGGTTACCCCAAAAAAGGTTACACTAACATATATTAACTTTTATTATGTAACAGCAACATAATAAATAAATTTATGAATTCATATGGCCTTTACAAAAAGACAGGAAAGATATTGCACCAAATTCAGGTACCGGCTATTTGGACTGAATATTTGCTAAATGGATCAGGTACAACGCAGCCTAAGTGAAGCGCCTTTTAAAGTCTCTGATTTCAATGGAAGAATTTAACAGAACTTGGGAAATCCCTCCTGCTGACCTCAATAGAGACCAAAATGTTTAACTTGGGCTGCATTGTGCCCACGATATCTATCATCATTATATACATTTGTGCAATTAAGGCAAAACCAGATGACACCTCAAACACAACAGAAGGCTTGAGAAACTCACATAATTTTTTTTTAAAAAAAAGAGAGGGGAGAGCTCCTGTCTCCAACTAATGAATTTGCTGTGCCTAAGGAATGATTCCCTTCGGTTTTTAATAAAGTGGTTATTATCAATCATGTTAATTAAAGGTGAAGAGCCAGTGTAAAATGTCCTACGGAGCAAGACTGTTTTGCAGAGGTTTGCCAAAATGATCCCATTTAACCTGGGTAAGCATTTTTTTAAGCAGGATAATCTCTTCTCATTATTAGAAAATACTTTCAGTAGAATATAAATCCCCTCCATGTGCAAATAACATCCGACCCATGCCTTATTCACTTTCAGTAGGGTGGTCTTCTTTGAGATTAATTATTTGAAGGAAAACATCTAAGTGGACCATCCAGAACACTGTACAAAGAGAAGCAGTGAAGTCAATTGCTCATCAATAAACATTATCTATTCTTTTCCCAACTGAACGGAATGGATTTATGTTACATTTTTTTAGAGCGCAAGAGGAACAAAGGCATGATATAACCAATATATCAACAAACAGTTCTTTGGCAGTTATGTATTAATCTTGATTGAAGACTGAACTCAAAGGATTCTGAAATCATAGACCTGGCTGCCAGTGTTTTTAAAAAATAGAATTGGGGGGGCAGGGAAAGAACACCATAATTATCCACTTCTCCCACAAATCCAACATGTCCAGTAAAGGAATGCAGAAGTAAATCTTGCAGGCTGTTGTATTTTGTAACATGAAGCATAGATATTTATTGTCTGCTTTAAGTCTTAATCCAAATGTACTGTATTCAAACACATTGAATTTTCGGTGAAATCTCAGAGTAGTTCAGGTCGGCCAATCGCCACAAAGAGAATCCATATTTACCCATGAGAAACCGAGAAAGAAAACATCAATCCAAAGGATGAGGAGATGATCTTCAAAGAACAGAAGCAATGGACCGATCCACACCTGGATGAATGTCACAGGGAAATTGACCTTACAGGGGGAAGACCAGGAAGCCAGAAAATGTTGAATACTGCCATCCACCAACCAGATTACCTTTCTCCAGTTTCAGGTAAACCTTATCTTCCTTGTCTAGATAGAGTAGAACTCCATTTGTTGCAGCTTCACGAGTGACATCTTTGTCCCCGGCAAATGCAGAAATGACCGGTTTCCCATTTAGCATCAAGTTCACCTACAAGAAGGAAAGCACTGAAGAAACTCAAGTTACCAGTGACCCATCTGACTTTAATGAATTCTATGCAAAGGACCATTAAAAGCCACATGTAGCTTGGGGACTATAAACCAATGTTTCAACAGGATTTCACAATTAGCAGTAATGAACAATTACCTAGTTTGCATGTGGTAGGAAGAGAGAATACAAAATGTATTAGTGATGACAGGGCTACATTGGGCTTGTACTAGTGATAAGAGGATGTCTTCTGTTCTGCTGTTCTCATTGTCCATGGATTGTCTCTGCCCCAGATCCTGCCCCACCTGTCTTCCAATTTAACTTCGATCACTTTCAGCGTTAATTTTAGAAGACTGTCTGTTTTCTGCTTTGTGTCTTTTAAAAACCATTGCTCATACACATGAGTGCCCACACACTATAGTTAAATTACAGTGCAAAAGGGAGAGGCTGTGGCTCAGTGGCAGAGAATCTCCTTTGCACACATAATCCCAGGCTTTTCCAGTTGAAAGGATCAGGCAGTAGGTGGTATGAAAGGCCTCCGCATGAGACCCTGGAGAGCTTCTGCCAGCCAGAGTAGATAATCCTGACCTTGATAGACCAATAGTCTGACAGTGTAAGGCAGCTTCATGTGCTCAAATCAAAGTCTGACTACGACCCCGGTCACATGGGAGGCTTTGAGCCGCAAGAGGGACGCATCGGGGTTGCATCAAGCGGCGTGCACCCGTCCCCGATCTGTCTCTTCCAGCCGAAGATGCGGATCAAAAAAACCCCTAGAAAACACTAGTACTTACCGGAAAATCCGCTGCAGGGATGGCCGTCTGATCACCGGCGCGCCCGTCACTCGCACAGCATGCAAGGTCCTACCGAACTGTGCCTGTGCATGCGCAGCAGGCTTGACTCGCTCTCCGGTCTGTGGCTTCCTCCCAGCATCTGATCATGCCGGGGAGGACCTGCGTGGCGGTTGGGGGGATGTATCTGATTCCACCGCCACGCTTCTCTTTTGATGCGGCTCAAAAAAGCCGCACTTTAGCCGTGCCTTTCCCCCCAGTGTGACCGGGGCCTACATTGCATCAAGATTCCTTTTTCACCTGGTTCTTGAAGCTGTTTGTTTGTTTGTTTGTAGAATGTGTGTGCCATCTGTCCTGAACCTGCATGAGGTGGCATATGCATCTGTGCATGTTAAAATCCTGTAAGGACAAAAGCATGCACAGTTGTCTCAGTGAAATCATAATGAAAAAAGAATGGTGAATTGCTAATGTATTAGTGTGCATGTAAAGTGCTGTCATGTTGCAGCTGACTTGTGGCAACCCCTTGGAGTTTTCAAGGCATGAGACTTTCAGAGGTGGTTTGCCATTGCTTGTCTCTGCAGAGCAACCCTAGACTTCCTTGGTGATCTCCCATCCGAATGTCTCTTGGTGGTCTCCCATCCGAATACTAACCAGAGCCTGTGCTTAGCTTCTAAGACCTGATGAGATTAGGCTAGCCTGAGCCACAAGATGATTTGGAACCCGGGAAATTCAGTGAAATTCAAGTACAGGGAATTTTATAAGCATCCTTAAACCTTCACTGCTTGTGACCCACCAAAAACAGTTCAGGTAGCTTTTAAGCTATGAGATCGCTGATTGGAACAGATCTCTACGAGAGGGCCTGTCTTTGCCACCAACTGCTGCCCACTGAATCCCTCCCCCCACTTATTTATCTCCTGAACAGCAGAGGGGGCAAAGTGAAGGTCTTGCTATGAAAGGAGCAACAGACAGATATGGACCCTTTATCTGCCAACAGAAGTGTCCTTCCATCATCAGACGAGAGAGTAGGATACAAACCACCGAAAATATTACTGCCAGTCCGCTAGCAGCAGTTTTCTTCTGCCGTCCTGTTTTCTACAGAAAAGGGAATGGGGGCCAAACCCCTAACAAGCCCACAATACATGGTTTGTGGTTGAAAATCAAAAGTACTCCTAAAGCATTTGGATAATGATTCATGGAGTTCCTTAAGCTCCCCAAAGTGACTCATCTTGCCAGAGTTGGATTTGTTGTTACAACTGACCTCCCCTCCCCTCTGTATAAGTGTATCGTCTCATTTCTCATAGTTCAGGTATCACTGGCCATGAAACTGGAGGGCTCCCAGGTGAATATGTGAACTGACTCAGTTGAAAAGCAGTCTCTGGGAAGGCAGTGCCAGGCAGCATGCTGTCTTGTGGTGGTCTGTCATGAGCAATGGCTCATTCAAAAAATTGCAGGTCATGCCTGTTTCTGCATTCATCATTGAGCACACCTGTGTGAAGCTGCCTCAATGTGAATGCTGTGTCAAAGTTTTGTAACACTTGATTTTTGCTACAAAAATTACCATTTGGGGGGGGGGGTGTATGTACATCCATCACCCCAAATCCATTCATTTACCCTGATTAGCTCCCTAGTGGGGACCCAAAGCTGCTTCCAACATTATTCTCACCTCTGTTTTATCCTTGCAACAACCACCATTCTGTGTAGGGCTGCCAAGTCCCCTCTAGGGATGCCCCACCCCCCACCCCCCACCCCAGGCCCTGTTGCCCATCAGCAGCAGGAGAGAAAAAAAATCATGGTTTTCCCCTAGAGATTTCAATGATTCCTAGAGCTACTCCTTGTTACGTCCAGTAAGAACTTCCATTAAGTACATGAGGGTGCATTTTAAAAAGACAGTTCTCCTGAGATGCTGTGGCCCCTGCAACCTTCCCACTGGTTGCCAGGCACTGCTTGGCAAGCCTAATTCTGTGGCATAGGTTAGGTTGAGAGAGAGTGATTGGCCCAAGATTACCCAGTGAGCTTCTGTGGCAGTGCAGGGATTAGAACCTGAATCTCCCAGATCCTAGTCCAATGCCAACTCTATGCTCCCCTGATCTAACACTAACCACTCTAATACCTTGCCCTGATCTGCTGCTGTTTATAGGGTTGCCAGACCCCCAGTCCAGCCAGGGGATCCCCCGGTCTTCGGGGCTCCAATCTGCCACCGGCTCGCTGGCCAGTGGGGGAAGCCTCACCCCTGAACTGGGACATCACCATGCGACATCCCTGTCACAATGACATCACCTAGAAGTGACATCATCACATTGCTGCTGTCGGGGGGGTGACACTCTAGTTTTTGAGCAAACTCTATGGTTCTGAGGGCAAAAGACCACAGAGTTTTGCCCAACTCTGTTAGGGGTTTGGCCCCCATTCCCTTTTCTGTAGAACACAGAGCATCATCCCCCCTCCACTGTCGGCAACTCAATGGCATCACTTTCAGGTGACGTCATTGTGGCATGCACACAAAGCATGCAGGCCATAAGAACATAAGAGACGCCAATGTTGGATCAGGCCAAAGGCCCATCCAGTCCAACACTCTGTGTCACACAGTGGCCAGAAATACCAGGTGCCACCAGGAGGTCCACCAGTGGGGCCAGGGCATTAGAAGCCCTCCCACTGTTGACCCCCCCCCCCAAGCACCAAGAAGACAGAGCATCACTTGCCCCAGAGCCCCTAGCTATACCTTGTGGCTAATAGCCACTGATGGACCTCTGCTCCATATGCTTATCTAATTCCCTTTTGAAGCCGTCCATGCTTGTAGCCGCCACCACTTCCTGTGGCAGTGAATTCCATGTGTGAATCACTCTTTGGGTGAAGAAGTACTTCCTTTTATCCGTTCTAACCCGACCTCTCAGCAATTTCATGGAGTGCCCACGAGTTCTTGTATTGTGAGAAAGGGAGAAAAGTACCTCTTTCTCTACCTGCTCTTTCCCATGCATAATCTTATAAACCTCGATCATGTCACCCCTCAGTCGTCGTTTCTCCAAGCTAAAGAGCCCTAAGCGCTTTAACCTTTCCTCATAGGGAAAGTGTTCCAACCCTTTTATCATTCGAGTTGCCCTTTTCTGCACTTTTTCCAAAACTATAATATCCTTTTTAAGGTGTGGTGACCAGAACTGCACACAGTATTCCAAATGAGGTCGCACCATTGATTTATATAGACCAGAAGCTTGGTAGGACCTGGCCACCATAGCTGTTTATGAGATGGGAAAGAGAATTTGCCCCTGTTGCTGAGGCCGCCAGGCCAGCCCGCCCTTCCCATTTGGATGCACGCAAAGCAAGGGAGCTTTGGCCCATTCGCCTTGGCAGCTCGTACAATTTTCTCTCCTTCCCACATTGCCCACTTCCTTTTGAAGAGTTTCATAACAGTTTACAAAGCGTTGCCTTAAAAGGATGACAAGGCGAGGCTCATTTGCAGCTGCGAAAAAAATTCTCAAAACACCCATCCTCTCCCGTCTCCTTTTGCTTCAGCATGACTAACTACATCTGCCTGGCGACGGCTCACTGCTGCAAGCGTTCTGTTGCACACACAGAGATCTAAGCACAGGGCAAGTGCAGGCAAACCTCTGAGAGCCAGTCAAAAACCCAGGAAAATGCCACAGGAAAAAAAAATGCTTCACACTTTTAAAAAAGTCAGTCAAAAAGAAATATAACGTAACATACAGGAGGGGAACCTGCAAGGACTTGTGAGGGTCATTTCATTTCCATGTATTCTCTTCCACGCATAATTTCTTCTTTCTCTTCTCTTGGCAGCCCCCATATTCTCTCCCTTTTCCCTGCTTCCTTCTCTTTTCCCTACTCACCTACCAGCCTTTCCTTTATCTGCTCCCACAGTCTTCAGCTTGTTTTCTTATTTATTTACTTCATTTATACCCCACCTTTCTCCTCAATCGGGAACAAAAGCAGCTCACATTATTCTCCTCTCCTCCATTTTATCCTCACAACAAACCTATGAGGTACTGATTGATTGATTTTATTCAAGGCAAGAGCTAGCATATTAAAACAGATAAAACCAGGGCTATTTTGGGGCAGGAACGCACAGGAACGGAGTTCTGGATGGCTCCAGAGTTGGCCACGCCCACTACAGCCAAAACCTCTGCGTGCGTTGCTACAGAGGGAAGGCCTGGAGAGCGACCCCCCACCCGGCAACTCTGAGGCGGGCAGGTCACAGGGGGCCCTGGA